AGATTGACACTCTTGTGAAGTTCAATCAGATTTCACATGTCCTTGGAGTGCATAGCCATTCTAGAGAGACCCTATCCACAAGGAATTCAATCCTTCCGTCGCCTACAGACTTGCTATTTGCTTGACTAATTCTTTGTTGTAACACTACAAGGGTGACAATTATGTACATGTGGAATTCGTCGCTTACTTGGCCTCATGTGAGTAAAATACAAGAAAGAGACGTGTGTATTACACTATGGAGGATCCCGAAAGAAAACAAAATAATTAGCTTTTGGAACCACAATGCACAAAAACCAACAAGTTCACATGGAGGATCCCACAACCGCAACTAAATGATTAAATAAATTGCCACTGTCGAAATAAAATAATTTCAGTCGCTGTCGTTTAGTAGAAACGAAGCAACACAACTAGCATCGAGCCTTAGTTTTGCCCTCGCAATTAGAACTTGAGGTCCCCACAATCATTATTTCACAATTCTTTTTCTACTACTGTCATGCCTAATTTATCTCTTCTCCTGAGCCTTAGTTTTGCTCTCGGAGCCATAATTGTGCCCTCGGAGCCCTAATTTTGCCATCCAATTGAGCCATGGAGAGAATATGACAAAACCTGAATGACTAAAAGTAAGAGATGACACGCGAGCGACGGCCAACAACGACGGCGACGGAGCAAGTGACGACGGTGACGGAGCAAGTGACGACGGCGACCGATCGAGCGACTACAACGGGAACTTTATTCGCCTAAACGACGACCACACAAGCCCTAATTTCATCCTTCATCATGCGATGTCGTTTAATTAACCAGGGGGAAACGATGTCGCATTGCACGTCCAAGCCACGGAGGCGATGCAACGTCGTTTTTGAAGTCCACGTGGACTTTATTTTTTAAAAAATTTGCCAAGTCATTTACAAGATTTAATTTAAAAGGCCATGTATTAATTTTGGCTGGAATATTTTGCCGTTGGCACTTAAGTGATCGTTTTTCTTCCGATTTGGCACTTAAGGGCCTATTTGGCAACTTGCCAAATAGTAAGAATTTATGTTTTTTTGTTTCCAGAATTAGTTTAGGAGCAGAAATCCGTTTGTTAAATTTTTTGTGCCTAGGCACAATTTTGCAAAAAATTGTTCCCATAATCAGTTTTGGAACAGAATCAATAAGCAAAAAAAAGTAGCTTCTTGATTTTGGAACAATTTTTCCATTTCTAATTCTTCTTCATTTTCTTCTTTTTTTTGGTTTATTGTTGTTCTTCGGCCTACCACTCGCCACACGCTGGCTGCCGGCGACCGGCCGCAGGCTAAAGCCATCGAGGGCGTCGCGGCCCTCGCTACCTGGGCGAGGGCGTCGCGACCCTCGCCTCCTGGGTGAGGGCAACTCGTGGCAGCGACGGCGAGGCCTCACCCAACCAAGGCGAGGTCGACGGCAAGGGCAGCGACGAGGGCCGCGACGCCCTCGCTGGCCTTGGCCTATGGCCGGTCGCCGGCGCCGGCGACCGGCCTTGGCCAAGGAAGAGAAGGGAAAAAAAGAAAAAAAAAGAAAGAAATATTAAAAAATTAAAAATATTATTAATAAAATGAAATTTTGTGTAGTTACCAAACGCATTTCTATTCTTTTTCTATTCTAAGAAAATAAATTTTGGACAGTTACCAAATGCCTTCAAATGCTTAGAAATTATTTCCGGGCATAGAATAAAAAAGAATCATTTCTGAGCAAAATCTGTTCTCGAGCACAGAATGGTTGTCATGTGCAGCCTAAATAAGTCGGTGAAAAATTTTGGTACTAAAGTGAGCGCCATACATAACTTTTGGCACTTCTAGTGTTCTTCTCCCAAAATATAAATTAAACAAAACATCTTGAATTAAAAAATAAGAATTCAGTCACCACTTTTGTCTTCTCTTCAAAATACTTGAAAAACTCCCGTAATAATAAAATTTACGATCTAAAAGAAAACTCGCCATCCCCCAAGCTCTCAATGTTATCCTATAAATAGGATAGCATTCAAGACTCATATCACAATGCAACTGCTTCTTTTTCGCATAAAATTGGGGAATAAATCACGGAATTCCCGATTTGGTATCCACATTCTAACTTTACTCTATGTGGCGTCTTCCTTTCCTTTTTTTCCATTTTTTCCTTATTTTCTCAATGTCTCATTATTCTACATAAACAAGGAAAATTTGAGTAAATAGAAGGAAATCTAAATATTTTCTCACATTTATTACATTATTTGTTGCTTAAAATACGTAAAAAAAACTCTATATTTATAGAGTTATCAGCTATCTAGGGGTGTCAGAATCGAACTGAAAAACCGAAGCGAACTAAAACAAAAATTTCGTGCGTTTTGGTTCAATTTAGTTGTCGATTCAGATAATGACAATGTGTGAATGAACCGGAACCATATGGTTAAACCCGAGGATAAACTACAATGCCTCCCCACAAAACTTAACGAGGATCGACAAGTGGGTTAACAAAAAATACATCGCCTTACCCAACTCACTCAAGCTAGAAGTGATCGGAGACCTAATATAGAGAATTTGGAAAGCTCGGAACTAGCCGATATTCCAATCGCGTCGGTCGTATCCAAGACAATTTGTGGACAATCGTGGGCTCGGTTGTTGCCTTATCCAATTCGTTGGCAGTGCACCTTAAAGTTCTTTATCCTTGACTGATAGAACATTATTTTATACCTAGTGTTGAACTGTTTTATCCCAAACTTATTCTTTCGTAAACACAATCATCTTTAAGAGCGTATCTCACCATCATCCATGTTGACTCCTCAACATCACGACCCGAAACTCAACATCGGCAGGTGCAATTTGCGAGCGAGTTGATTGATGATCTTCAGTGACAATACCAACGAAATGGCACGTGATGACAAGATCAACAATCCTTCTATTTTTATCATTACCCAAAGACTTGCAAGTACACTAGCTTGATCTAGGTACCTCCAAGCCACCATGAGATACCACTCACACTGATACTTGTTCACCCTAACTATCACAGCCTAGTTTCTCGTCTTTGCTGACACAAATGAATCATTAATATATGTATAACTAATTTACCATTTCACATTTGTCATGATAAATATTATAACTAAAAAGGTTTTGGAATCATCAAAATTCCATGGGGATGTTTTCCCAGCACACTATACATTTCAAAATTGCGAAGGTGAGTGACCATGCTTTCTCTTTCTCACTAGATTTGGCATTAGCTAACTGATATATATTGTCAACGAGGTCTCACGTCATCCCTAAAACAACTGAGGCTCCTTTTGTTTTGCAAAAAATGTGATATTTCTAGAAAATATTTTCTGTAAAGTCATTTTCCAATATTTTTTAGTGTTTGGCTGAAATATGAAATGAACTAGAAAATATTTTATGCTGTTTGGTACGGAAAATCTGATTTTATTTTCCTTCGTGCTTTCATTTGAATAAAATTTTCATTTTTCTTTATTTATTTTATTTTCGTTTTTTAAAAAATCAAAATCAAAATTTTTTTCTTTTTCTTTTTTTTTTCCTTCTTCTTCGGCCAATTGTCTACCACGATGATGATTGATGACTAGCCATAGGCCATGGACGATCTTGCCCAAAGCCAGAGAGGCTCAAGCTTGCCTATTGGCGACTGGCTGAAGAAGACGGAAAGAGAAAAGAAAAGAAAAAAAAAGAAACAATAAAAAAAATTCAAAAATAAAAAAATCAAAAATTTGAAATTTATTAAAAAAGAAAAGAAAAATAAAGGAAAAATAAAAAAATTATTTAAAGGAGTGCACGGAAGAAATTGTGCTTGTTATGGGCGAAAGAAAGATGGGGGAAAATGATTTCTTCCTTTCAAAAAGAGGAAATCATTTTCCCCATTTTTGAAGGTGTTTTTTCTATTAATGAAAAATGTTTTCCTCGACTTGTTGTTTATTTCCTATGAACTAAAACCCGAAAAATTTAGAAAACCTTTTCCTGTAACTTGTTTGCTGTTAAAGAAATGGAACCTTTGAAAAAGTTTTTTTTTTTTTGGACGGATGAACCTTAGAAAAAGTTTAAAAAGCTGAAAAAAGTCATAAAATGTAAAAGGGAAAATATATGTGGAGGGCTAACACCGCTGTTGCATAGCTTCGTGTTGCCATCTAAAAGGCAAGAGTCGGTCACACAAAATTGTAGTTGCGAGCATAAGGTCCCACAACCCCAGCCCTGTTTTTCTTTTCTAATTTATGAATTTTTGAGTTTTTAAATTTTTTGAGTTTTTATCAAAGCTTACGATATCCGCTTGGAAGTCATGTCAACGGTATTTGTCCTCAATTTTAGGATTTGACTTGAATCCGTGCATCAATTGCAAACACAATAATATTTTGTTGAACTGAGTGATTGAAATCAAAGTCCGACAAGCAAATTGTAAATACCAGCTCAATTGAGTGACCCCTACACAAATTTAACCTTAGCCTTTAAACCATGCATATCTACTAATCGGCCAGTGCCCTTATTCATCCCATATTATGAGCCAGGACTTTATTAGGTGATACGGGAGCATCAAATTCCATTGAAGATCCTTCGATATTTATGCAAGTAAAGGAATGTTTCAAACAACAAGATCGGATGGGTTCAATAAGGAGAAAGCGCCCAAGATGGAATTTCTATATATTGAGGAATAAATGCTCATTCAGCTGAATCAGCGGATGGAAGGTTAAATCCTGAATTGAGTATATTTCTTAAAATGAGTAGATGCCCTAGTTCAAGTTGGTTTCCTAATTTGGTATTTCCTAGTTTAGTATTTCCTAGTTTGATGGTTGCTAATTTAAAGTTTCACAGTATAATGTTTTCTAGTTTAGTTTCGTAGTCCGTTTGTAAGTACGCAATATTTAGTTCGCTATTTTCGCTCAAGTGAGTGATTCCTTCGATTCTTTATCCAAAGTTTGATTTTTTTTCTCCAGTTTGTTGATTGTAAACCTTAAAGTGCCTGATTGGTAATACATCAAAACACTCCCTTGCCATCAAACACGTCCGGCAATCTCATCCAAACTTTTCAAGCATTGTATTACATGGTCCCATCGTGTACGTGTGCACTGGTCAGAGGGGACACTCCATTGAGTGCATGGACTGTTGCTGGAAATTTAAACCGCACGAACCTCATCCTTTTCCTTAACTTCTTCCCATGTAAATTGGTGGAAACGTGTCGTTCATCCGCAGCCTCTGTCTCGACTGTAGCGATCTCGTCAAATCTGTGGAAAAATTTTCCACCATATCCGCACTAACCATCTTCGCGCGACACATGCCCTCTCCCCACTCCATCTGCACTGTCTCCTCCCATCTTTTGGAAGCGATGGAAACGGCATAGAATCTGTTGGCGGAGGAATATACATTGTATCGTCGAACCATCGTCTCCAGCCTCGTCTCGTTGATCCTTCAATCCGAGCGAGCGAGCGAGCGAGAGACCGCGAACATAGCTGGATGGAGTGCAGAGTTTCCAGCACCAGCGGTTTGTTCTTGGGTGTGTTCTGGAATTTGGTCTCCGTTCGATCTTGGCCGTGATCTGCCCATGATTTCTTGCGTTCCTGGGGGATTACCGGAGACTGTTTATCTCCGAGCAGGGGTCTTCTCCGATTTCGAAATTCTTTAGCCGCTGTTACCCGTGCAAGAATCCATCTCTTCTGGTTTTTCTCTTCGTGTTTAGATGAGTCGGGCTCGGATGGATCCAAGTCACGACCCGCTCAAACCCTCCAGCACCAAGTTTCTCTTCAACCCGGATGCGCCGCGCGAAGTTCTCGCTCTCTGCTGGAGAATTACGTTGCTGAGTTGCCTCGCCGGTTCAATCTCGCTCGTCCTCTACTCGGCCTTCACCACCCGGCATACTCACTGGCTCCGGCTCCCGGAACTCCCCCAGCCACGAGCCCGAATTCCAGGACCCGACGGGGCCGGACCCACCAACATCTCCCACATCCTTTTCGGCATCGGAGGCTCCCGCCGCACCTGGCACGACCGCAGCCGCTACTCGTCCCTCTGGTGGGAGCAGAACTCCACCAGGGGATTCGTGTGGCTCGACGAGAAGCCCGCGGAGAACGTCTCCTGGCCCGAGGGCTCGATCCCGTACCGGGTGTCCGAGGACGCGACCCGGTTCAAGTCCTCGAGCTCCAAGTCCGCCCCCCGCATAGCCCGGATTGTCCTAGAGAGCTTTAGGCTCGAGCTGCCGGACATGAGGTGGTTCGTGATGGGGGACGACGACACGGTATTCTTCACGCAGAACTTGGCCACGGTGCTAGCGAAGTACGATCACCGTCAGATGTGGTACATCGGTGGCAACTCGGAGAGCGTGGAGCAGGACCTGATGCACGGGTACGGAATGGCCTTCGGCGGCGGCGGGTTCGCGATTAGCTACCCGCTGGCGGCCAAGCTGGCCGACATACTCGACGGCTGCCTTGACAGGTACTCTCATTTCTACGGGTCCGATCAGAGGGTTTGGGCGTGCGTGCTCGAGGTCGGCGTGCCCCTCACCATCGAGCGCGGATTCCACCAGGTACGTTCGTTTTCTTCACTAAGGCCTTCCTTTTTGCCGATGTTCTGATTTAATTGGAGGGTTTCGCAAGTTACGTGCACCACTGTTTAGCCACTTCGAGATTATGAGGATGGTCGACAATTGCTTGAAAGTGATATGGACATGGCGCCACTGCGCATCAAAGTTGGTCAAAGGTTTTCGCCTATTGGCCGACAGTCGTCAACATTGAAAGATCCATCATGAAGGTGTTTTTTTGCTGGTGATTATGGATGCACCCACTTTGCGTGAGCCCATTAGATGATAATCGGGAATCATGTTTAGTCTGGAAAAATTCTCCAAAAAGTACTAAACCTATTGTACGGAGATCAATTTAGTCCTACATCTTTAGATTGTGTCAATTTAATCATAAACCTTCTGACGATTTGCCAATTTAGTCATAATATTTTCAATTGTATCAATTTAGTCCTAAACATTTTAATAATTTGCTAATTTACCTTTTAGCGATTTGCCTCCTTTCGGTCAAATATTCAAATAATAGGTTTAGGACTAAATTGACAAATCGTCAAAAGGTTTAGGACTAAATTAGTACAATTAAAAGATTAGCGACTGAATTGATTGTCTTACAATAAGTTTAAGACTTTTTAAATAATTATCCTTGTTTAGTGCTAAATTAGAAATCTATAATAATTAATGGTTGTGATGGTGTGATGCATTGGTGATTGTTTTGTATGGGTTATGATGTGTTGTGGGTGGGCTCAATTTCGTGGGAAAATTACCAAGTTAGTCTTTTTGATTTTACTAATTTAGTCATAAACCTTTTCATAAACTTTCAATATAGTCTTTTCAATCAATTTTCATCATAAATCGCTGACGTGGCGGTCCAATCATGCCGGCCGTGTACCTCAAATATCAATAGGTAGAAATGGACAAACAAGTCTAAATTTCTTTTGCTCTTCTCTAGTGAGGGGAAATGTAGGTGAAAGGGCGACATTGTGCCTCAAATGCCAACTGGCCATGCATCATTGGAGGGTCCTCCAACATTAAAGCATGTCCTTTCCTTTGGTATCGTCTTCCTGTTTTCCTTTCTGACTTTTGTTAGGTATTGATAGAAAGCAAAGCCCCAATAACTACAAGCTCACCCAAAAGGGTGTCCTCTTCACGGATTCGGGATTCTCATTTTGTCTCAATAACATCATTTACTCAAGCCGAAAGTGTGTCGATGCACCCAAAAGCAGTCTTGACATTTGAAGGAGTTGACCGCCATGAGTCACGTCCATCTCACATGGCCTATTTTGACGTCGAGCTCTAATTTCCATATGTATGTTATGCTTTGTCTTAAAACCGTAACCCTATCTCATTATTTAGAAAAGAAAATGGAAATTTGATTGTTTTAGTGAACAAGGAGAAAGAAAGAAGAATTTCCTTTGCATATTAGTTTTTTCTTTGAAAAGCATAATTATAGGCTGATATTGTTCCAATGGACTGAAATGCTTGAAAAATTACACATGAGGTTTTTGTCGCTAGCCTTCTGTGTTAGCACTCCCTTTTATTTTCTTACTTATCAGCGGAATTGCCTGGGTTCTGTTACATTTCTGCACAAATATGTTCTTTTACTTGGCCTGATAAAAGGCATGTGAGATGAACGTGACTTGAAATCGTCCAGATTTCTCAAAGTTAAGTTACTTTTGGTGCACATTTGACACATCTTGGGCGAGTAAATGAGGAATTTTGAGACAAACGGTATGTGAGATACTATGAAAATTTCAGAGGGGATGTCCTATCTTGTGAAGAATCGTAGGTTGGAAGCTTGTGTGACTGGCTTGTATAGTTATAGGTAAACCCATTAGTTATTCCTTAAACGAAACATTCAGTGGATGGTATAGAACCCTTACTGTAACACAAAAAGGAACAGCTACACTAGTTTCCCTTCACTATTCTTGTAGTCATAAAGAAAAAGCTTAGAGGACACTCAGTTTTGCAGGGTATCAGCATTTGGCTATTTCTTCCGTTGTGTCCCCTAGAATGTCTTGCCTAGACCCGGATCCATCGATCTAGAATGATAGCAACTATTGATCATGTAGTTCCCACTTGTGAGGCCAACACGATCAACAGTCATGATAGACCTGGTCCGCGTGGACTCTGGTCCAAACGAATATTTGCCAGCTAAGCTCTTAGATGATCAGAACAAGAAATTGATGGTACCTTTTTGTCATCACGTCCATGCATGTAGCCAAACGGTAACCGTAGAAATGAGTTTGTAAGCTTACTTTCCCCAGCATGATATAGAAAGTTAATCCCTCTTAAGAAGTTTCACGTATGTCTCGCGTTTTCTGAACTGCAAAGAGAAAAGTTAGACGCAACTAATTCGTTTTGGGAAAAAGTTTTCAGATTGACATTAGAGGGGACCCGTATGGCATTTTAGCGGCACACCCGGTGGTGCCTCTCGTGTCGCTCCATCACCTGGACGATGTGGATCCGATATTGCCGCAGCAGACCCAGATCGACTCGTTGAAGGCCTTGATGGACCCGTACCGGATCGACCCAGCCCGGATTCTCCAACGGAGCCTTTGCTACGACCCAAAGCGAAAGTGGTCGATATCTATCTCATGGGGTTACACAATCCAGATCTATCCGTCACTGGTGACGGCAAACGTGTTAGAAACGCCGTTTCAGATGTTCAAGACCTGGAGGACTTGGGGCGATGGGCCATTCACGTTCAATACCCGGCCTGTGAGCTCCGACCCGTGTAGCCAGCCGGTTATCTATTTCGTGGATACGGTTGAGGAGGTGGGTTGGACTGGGTCTTTGACCACTTATAAGAGATCCGATTTGAAAGGAGGCAGAGGCTGTAAGAGAGCAGATTACGATCGTGTGTTGGCAGTGCAGATGATTACGGTCTCGTCCATGAAGATGGCCCCGGACTATTGGAATAAGGTAATCCTTTTGGCTCTCTTCTTCCTAAGTACATAATAGCATATGGCCTGCAAACCCTCGAGCTTTAACAGACATTATACCCATTGAATTTCTGCTGAGCTCATTGACTCATTCACATTGTAACCAAGAGAAGCTGAGATAATGCACTTACTGTCACTTACAGTTGTTGTGGGAACTTCTGTATGCAGGCACCACGCAGGCAGTACTGCAAAATCGTGGATCGGGGAAGCATCAGGAGCGGGAGCATGCATATTAGGATCAGAAAGTGTAGAGCACATGAGATGAGAGCATCGCCATTTGACCCTTAGCAAAACAGGTTGATCCTATGCTGCATATAAAGATGAGTCAGAGCTACTTAGAGAGATTTCGAGAGAGCAATGAGATGTATGCAAACTCGGTCGATCGTTAGGACACAAACTTCTCAGACTGATACCAGAGCAAAACTGACGCGGAGCACTATGTACTTAGCGGACAAATAGATAAATCTCCTATGTGATGAGTGATGGTTACTTAGGAGTATTGACAATGTTTTCTATCACATATTGTTCGTCCTTTCATCATAGGGAGTTCCTGTTCGGCCAATGCCCGATCCCTTTCTTCGTCGACGGTCCCTTCCGCTCAATTCTCCAGAAACACAGAAGTAGTACAGTACCTAGCAGACATCGAATGCTATCTTTTTACTAATTAAATAGACAAGAAGTTGATTAATTTTCTGTTCAGTACTCGGATGTTCGCAAAGCATATGTGCTCACCGGTAATTGCAGCTGCTGCCGGAGCAGCTAGCGACTGGTGTAATAAACGGGCTTCTAAAAGAAAAGGAAATAAGCTGAAACCCAACCACATTGCTTGCCCCAGTTTCTTTTGCAAGCCCATATACTCAATTTTTCAGCCCAAATGCCTCTTTGTTGCAACTGGAGGTCTTGGAAGAAGAACGCGTAGGGTTAATATGTTCCAGAGTGCTCGATAAGAATTCGAAACCTTAATTAATTCATCTATTCGAAGAAATGTTCTTGATCAAGCTATAATTTTGGACCAGTTTGGGTTTTAAGGTTTCCGGTTTGATTTTAGTAGTTATTGAGCTGGCAAATCGATTGAATAAGAAACTTTGCGGTGTAGCAAAACCATAAGATTTTACACCTTGGTTATGCAAACTGCACGCGAGTGCGAAACGTATTAACGGGGACGAATCAAATCAAATCCCGACGAAAGCGTTGTCCAATCAAACGGGCAAGAATTCAATGTTGAATCAATCAACACACCGTGTTTATGCGAACAACAAACGTGTGCGGTAAATGGGCAGTAATTCAATCCCATCAAAGTAGTATTCAATTCAACCACATGATTCCAATGCCAAATCAATTAACACATCTACCTATGCAAAAAGCATCCTAGTGCGGAACAACTAATAAGGATGAATCCAATCCATCAAATCAACGTTAAATTTCAATATCAACGTGCAATTCCAATCGATATACCATTTCATCGCATCAGCACCTACATGAAAATCTTAGCCCGCAATTCTAATTGATGTCCCATTTCATGTAATTTTATCACGGCAGAGAATAATCCAAAGCAGTGTACAATTTAAGTTCAGAGTGTGATTTCAAAGCAGTCTGCATCTTAATGACAGCGTGCAATCTAAAAAACGACGAGTATATTCATGCATCTGCGTGGTGTGATTGTACTATCAATATACAAAATCACGACATGCTTCATTATAATGCAACATTCATTGCAAATCAGTGCTTCAAAAATTCAATCAATAACATTAAATGCATAGATCGAAATTTTCGAAAGATAGAGTTAGTTTAATCATTTTCAATAATTTCTACAATTCTTTAGAAAATACTTATCGCACACATAAGGCCTCACTTCACGGATTGACGACCTTCGGGTGTCTCCACCCCTCACCCCTCCGATTCGTCGGACTGATCCCATCAATGTTTGAACCAAGGGTTAGCTTGTTTAATGAGATTATCTACATATATAGACACATCGATTTATTCTTCTCAATCCCCATAACTTCAGTTTAAGTTCAACAATATAAAAGCATCACCTCAATAATCAAGAGGATAATAGCATAAATGGTCTAAGAATTTTGGTCTAATTTACAACGTCGTAACTTTTAATTTGTGCAATGTAGTCCATAAACTTTGATCTAATGTGCAATGTCCTCTCTAGACTTATAATTTGTTCAATGTAGTCCTTGAACTATTGGTAAATGTTCAATATAGTTCTTAAATTATATAAATATATTTAAAAGTTCATGAATGACATTAAATATTAGATCAAAATTCAGAGACCATATTGAATAAATTAAAAGTCAAGGGACAACATCGCACATTTGATCAAAGTTCAGGAACCACATTAAACAAATTAAAAGTTCATGGATGACATTGCCCATTGGATCAAAATTCAGAGGCCATTTGTGTCATTTTTCCATAATCAAGATAGTAGCTACACTTATTTCAGTAGCATAACCACTTATTTTCTAACAAAAACATGCTATTTTATGAATTAGTTTGGACATAGTAATGATTTTTTTTTCTCACAAAAACTGTTTCAACATTATTTCAGCCTACGCATGCAAATTTTCTAATTTTAGACATACCTTGCCTAAAGGAGTTTAGACACTGCAAGAAAATCACCACAACCCGAATGAACTTCAAGTGAGAGAGATTTTCTATTCAAGAAAGCCAAAATCACAAAAGAGAGTTATGAGAAACTTACATTTAAGTGCAAATGAAATGAACCCACATCTTACCTTACCAAAAAAAAAAAAAAATGAACCCTATATATTAAAAGAAAATGAACCCCTCTATTTACATGGAATTATTTAAGCCTAAGGAGAAGCTAGCCTTGTGCAAAGCCTTGCAAAAGGATATTTGGGCCTTGCAAAGAATCAAAATGGCCTTGCGCCACGTCCGCATGGTGCTGACGCAGGAGAAGGCCTCTCTTGCGACTACCAGGCGTTGCAAGTTGGCGGGCCTAAAAAGAGCCAAAAATATATATTTTTTCTAAATTCAAATATGCAATTTTTTTTCTCTTGTCCACGTTTGATCGCGGGTTCCTCTCTCATCCAACATCCAACTTTCGCATCCACAACAAGCTCATGACTCGAATAATTTTGAATTTGGTCTTATGTAGGGTGATCGGTTTTAGGTTCTTTATTTTATGGAACCTGGAACTTACCAGTTGGAACCTGCAACCTAGAACCTACCTTGTCACAGGTTCTAGGGTAGATTCCATGGTCTAACGGGTTTTTTTTATTTATTTCATTTTTAGTTAAACAAAACAAAATAAACGTAGGAATATTGAACAAGCTTGTCATTCATCAAAGAGAATACAAAAGACTAGTTTTCCTAGCATTACGGTTCAAATAAATACAATTAAAATGAGAAGTCATTGTGTGAATTGATACTAGGGGTGAGTGGTTTCATATTCCGTATAGGTTCCATTTGGAATCCACTCATGATAATAGGTTCCTCAATTTTTGGAACCCGGAACCTACTATATCACAGGTTCGAGAGTTGGTTCCAACATCTACCCAAGTTCCACATGTATTATTAATTGAAAAATTGTAGTGAATCATCGCCTTTGATGACTATCACTGGCTGCTATGATCCACTGAACATAACATATATTTAGACACATGAAGAATATGAAATATTAACAAGAAGAGAAGAGTAGTAAAAGTGCCAAAAGTTGTGTACAGCGCTCACTTTAGTGCCAAAAGTTTTTTTCGGACTACTTAAGTGCCACTTTAAAAAAAAACGATTAGTTAAGTGTCAACTCCGATATGGGTCATCGGAAATCTAACGTGGCTATATTTTATTAATTTTACAATCTTACGTGGCTCGTCGGCGTGTCCAGTCAACATAAAACCTCTAAACAACGCCGTTTTATTGTTTTGCCCAAATATAAACCCTAAATTAGACAATTAAGCTTTTTCCCAAATTCCCCAAATAAAAACACTAATTCTCAAGAGCCACCAATTAGCTAAGGTCCTCTCATTACACTCTTTCAGGATCAACAGCAACAACTGAACGCACCTTTTCAGCAATGAACATTGTTAACAATAGGCATAGAAACAAGATGGAGGATTGATGATCCAGTAGATTGCCCTGTTACTTACATTGAGAAAAGACTTGTTGAAAAGCTCTATACATACTTGATTATTGTTGAATTCTAGGATATAAAAGAGCTCGCGGACGACTTCGATGATAGGCGCGACAATATATGCGTACTTTTATTGATTGTTGTTTACTTGTAACTCAACAATTTATATGATACTTGAGATTTTGCTTTACCTCTAAATTTCTATATCGATCTCTAGTCAAAAAAGTTGTTGGGAGTGCGTGGCAGAAATCCGATACTTTCACTTGGGATATTACTAAGAGGGAGCCCATATTCAATCGTCAACATATTCAGTTGGATCCAATTTTACTCAAAAATTCATGACAATGAGTTATTGATCAATTATGATATACTAACTACTAACATATTTCAACTTGAATATCCATCAACGTCCATCATTTTATCTTTAGTCGGTTTCTTCATATCGAACCATGAAGTCTACCACTGTAGCCCATATTGCTACACCAGAATCGGTAGCTTTAGCCTAATCTCTTTCATCAAGCAAGAACCATGAAAGCTGTCATTGGAAACCGCGTTAGCCATGGGATTGCTTTCTTAAGATATTCATCAAACACCATATTAGATTTGAATAGATTTGGGGTGGAGTGCCGTTCAACCATAAGTTATGATACCATTTGTTAAGAGCGCACAGTAAAAGTCCAAATATATTCATCTAAAGAGATTGTTAAAAGAGAGCCTAAATCCGAATTTATTAATATATCCAGTTAGTTTGACAAAAAAGAAACATACGCAGTTAGATCTACATTTACTAAAAAATATATGCGGATTATGAGTCAATTAAGATATATTAAATGTTCCATGCTATATTAATTATTTGGTGTGTGACTTTCCTAACTTAATTTACACGTTTATTTTAACAAAAAGTTGATAGTGGAAGAAATTCTAAGATACATCACTGGATAATATAGTTACAAGCGCTTCAAACTTCGTTGTGATGAGAAATACCTTCACGACGTTTATGCACTTTGATAACGGTTCCTATGTCGTAAAGTTGGCATCGTGTATTTTGGCAGAAAGCATCTGATGTTGCTCAGAGAGATAAGAGTACACGGGGAGACTGGTCAAATACGGTGCCCGTGAGAAAAGCTTGAAGGCTCGTACTTTGGTGGGAAGGGGGGAGGATAAACAGAGCAGAGCAGCATGGGTAGTCGACACTTCTTGTCGGGACTCGCGGACATCGACGTCTTCCCCCACCACCAGCCCACCATACCACCCTCTCCGACCAATGCGCACGCTACCCAACGCCACTTCTTTCCCCCAAGAAATATATTTAAAAGAAAGCAAATTGCAGGAATTAAGAAACTTCAAAAGAACTCTTGGAAAATGGCAAGAGCCGCCTCCGCATTTGTCCTTTAGGACCTACTCCCGTTGATTTTTAACACTCTCAACGTTATTAT